TTCCTTAGTTTATTCTGCACATCCCCAACAAGCCAATCAGAAAAGCGGTAATATTCTGATGTCATTGAACGTTATACCAACATGTCCGTGTCTTTTCATTGTGCTTTGTGAATGTGTTTTGGATAAAAAAAAAAAAAAAAAATCGTTTTTACCATGGAGCATGCGTAGTCTCAACCTGTACAGTCAGGGAAGCAATCAAGAATCAAGAACAAAACGCGCAAGAAAAGAACTCTATACAGTGCAGCAAGAAATTGATATGCTTTTTGGCTCTGTAGCTGAGGCAGAAGGGTTAAAATTGTTCAGGAACGCAGGGCTCAAAGGGTTAAGATCTACAAGGGACAGGAAGATGTGGGGGGGGCCATGATCGCCTACGTCCTGAAGGGACACGGCACATAAAAGATGGGGTGATTATATTTAAGAAAAAAAAAAGAAAAGAAAACTTGGTGGACCACTTTAATACACTATACACATCAACAGTATACACCGCTTGTAATTAGTTCCGATTCATAAGGATCAATGAATGGCTGATAGGTGTTAGTGTTACAGAAAAAAAAAATAACGCCAAGGTGACCTTCACCTAAATTAGGCAGGTGGTGTGGGTGTACTGATAAAGATATCGGTACTTGAGCAGGTTTTTATGCCTGGAAGGAAAAAAAAAAGTCAAAAGGTTGAAGCCATGTCTTTTGTTGGTGTTTCTACGAGGTACGGGTGAATTGTCGTTTCTGAAATATCTAACAAAGATCTGTCCTCTTTATCAGTTTTGCTCTAAAAGGAAGATCGTCTCTTATTTTATTAATGTTGTTCCCCTCCCGTCACCGATGTTGTAGTATGATAAGAGATGTTTAACTTCCCCACCTACACAATTTCTTTTTCTGTTACAGATAGAAGTCTAGTAAACTAACGTCTAATATGAAAGTATACATAAAGAAAAAGTGTGTCATTTAATCCTCCCTCCCTCGTTAGTACATTGGAGTCGTTTGAACGCACCCACAAAATATTTTCTTTCACATTTAGCAAGTGGCATGTCAAATTTACATGATTAATTAAGTCGCTTTCTGATTAGCTTTACTAAGTCACTAAAAAGAATTTCTTGTTGTGGTCATAGTGTAGAGGACCGTGTGTGTGTTTGAGTATTGTTGTATTAGAAACACGTGCTATTCATTTCATTCCTGCTAGAAGAAGGTCCAACTACAAGAACATGGCGGACTTAAGTTGTCCAACCGAAGATATGAAGAAAACAAACAAGACCAATATATATATATATATATATATATATATATATATATATATATATCAACAAATATATGTATTAAACAACACAATTTTACAATGGACATAGACATGAATATTTGTTCTTTGGTGAATGTTCGTACGTACGTGTATTTGTGTATAATGTTAACGGCGTCTTCCACAAATGGGAAAACGCTATCTTTACGAGAGATCATACTGTAGAGGTGTTTGTTGGAACGAAGAAATGAAAAAGAGAACGAGGCGAGAAGTCGCCCAGTATTTATAGTGTAGGGAGAATGACCCCTAGTGACAATCAGGAAATTAAGGAGGGGCTAACTCCGACAATAGTATAATATTTGTGGGAATTACAATTGTTTTTGTGGGTTATTTAAAGTTGAAATATTTCAACGGGTTGCTTACAATACCTGGGGTTCCCAAGGATTGTGTTTCAAATGTTTGAATCTCAAATAGTTTAGATATTTTTTTTCAGTCATTTTTAAGTTAAAAAAATATGCGAGTCTCCATTGTTATCAAACTTGACAGGAACAATTTACTCCAGGTCAACTATTGTTTCATTTTTGTTATTTGCATCTGTAGATATCTGTGTGTGTGTTTGTTTTCTATCAATATAAGTGTTTCCTATGATATAATTTTACACATTCAGGTATTTTTTTTTATATCAGGGCAATTTTCTTTAATTAAAAAAAGTGATTGTCACCTGTATTTTAATGAATATAGGAACATAATTTATAGGTATTTACACTATTTACATTGTTCGGACTTCTGTCCTCATCTTTATTGCCATATTCACGACGTTTTGGACATTGTACACTCCGGCCTTCGTCAGGAAGCACATACTTTGGAATTTTCAAATGAAAATAGATTGTTCTAATGTCATGTGCCTTGCTTTATATAGAAGTAATATTATACAGAGGGGGTGCTGAAAATTTTTTTGGTCTAACCCTGTTTATGAAAAAATCCCAGTATTTAAATGACCGCAAACATCGGCAAAACGGATTTAGGGAAGTGGTTCAGGTTGAGAACTTTTAACCCCTCCCTTAGTACTGTGGGGTGTCTGAATGTACCACAAAATGTTTTACTATTAGGATGGTGCAAAAATAATGTCTTTTTTTGACGTTCAACTTAACGTCAAAAAACGACATTATTTTTGCACCCACCTAATAATATTTAGCAAGTGGCAAGTCAAATTTTCATAATTACTGAAGTTGCTTTTTTGATACCCCTGTCAAGTAACTGCAGGGCATTTCTGGTTTTAAGTCATAATATTTGTAAAAATTACAAGTAGTTTTATATGCACATGATAGCAGATCTTTGGAAAAGAAGGCCTAAAAAATATGTGTCTGAGGAAATATCCAAGGCAGGAAATAAAAGAAAAAAAATGCCTTGTACAAATGTACAGACTGTAACAACTTCAAATCTAAGTCGTTTTCTAAGCAGAACGTCAAAGAAGTGTGACATGTGCAGCAGATCATGTAACTGTAAAGTAATAATTTCTTTATAATTATAGTAGAAAGACATGCAAAGAAACATATGCGAAGATCCCAGTACCATTCTTATACATTGATGGGAACATGGAAAAATCAGTTGTAGTGTTGGTTGGTTGTTTTGGTTTAGTGCCATATCAACACCTCTATGGGTTATTTAATGGCGAAAACTAAATATTTTGAACACAGTTGCATGGCATCAACTAAATATATTTTTAAACGCAATATAATCCGTCTATATTTCTGAGATGAGGTATTATGTACACTATTTACATTATTCGGACTATTGTCCTCATCTTTGTTGTCATATTTATCACAACGTTTCGGCCGTTGTACGCTCCGGCCTTCTTCAGTCATGGCACATGGAACTAGAACAGTCTACTTCAGTGAGCGAAATAATGGGTTCAGTTCGACATTCCAACCACCTGAAGAAGGCCGGAGCGTACAACGGCCGAAACGTTGTGATAAATATGGCGACAAAAATGAGGACAATAGTCCAAATAATGTAAATAGTGCAATTATATCCGTTCAGCTACAGATAAAATGTATTGTTGGTAATTTTTGTATAGAAATGTATTCCTGCTATTTTTACTATAAAAAATTATTTTCATAGGGCTTTGTTTTTGTTTTTTTTTTGGGGGGGGGAATCACTATTTTCCCATAACTAGGACCCTAACAGGTGCTACTACCCAGTAGTTGAAGAGTAGTCAGACTGCTCACAAATTATTTTTAAAAGATCGTAGTGAAAATAAAATGAAACCTATTTTTACATATTTGAATTTTCGAGGATTACAATTCAAGAAAATAACAATCAAAATGTTTACATTCCACATGACTTCAAACTAAAGGTTAGAAAGGAAACCCCCATCAATACTGGAAAGAGCGATAAGAGCTACTGGACTTGAGAAACCTCTTTTCCTGAAAAATTGTTTTAAGAGAAAGATTTTATTAATTTCAACAGACAACAGTACCGGTTGCTCAGTCAATGAATGATGAATTTTTCTTTATAAAGAAACGGCTAATTTCAGCATTACCATGGGTATTATTAAGGTGTTTGAATTTTAGGATTGGATTTTTTATGGGGTACCTGAAGCCTTAAGTACTACACTCATGGATTTTTATTTTATTATTTTTTTAAAACAAAAAGTCAAATTTTATGAAGGCGATAAAATTGTCCCAACGATATTATGTAGCAAATAACTTGCATTATTTCTGTCTGTTTCTGAGATGTGGCATTGTAACTATTTACATTATTTACATTGTTCGGACAGCTCTTCTTAACTTTATTGCCATATTCACCACGTGAATATGGCAATAAAGATGACAACAGACCGAACAATGTATAATTGCATTATTTATTGTGAAATTAATAACCAACTTTTGGGTGTATATATATATATATATATATATATATATATATATATATATATATATATATACATTGCAGGTAATAAATCCGTTGGTATATAATCCAAATGGATCCTAGTAATATCAAATATTAAACCTGATTGACAAAAAGAGCTCAATGTATTCATTAAAACAGAGCATATAAATTCACAACAAAATCCAAAATTAACTAATATGGGGGTGGGGCTATAGATCTCAACTAATGAGAAGTATGTTTTATTGAACCTCGGTGTATAAACTGTGTTCATGCCGGAATTAGAAAATTAAAATTTAACTTTGATAACAGTTAAATTTTAAATTTAAGCAAAAGAGAGAGAGAGAGAGAAAGAGAGGGAGCAAAAGAGAGAATTTGTTTTCTTTTTATACTGTTTATTAGCATGCCATCTAGCGGGCATTAAGCAAAGTCACCTGGCAGATAAGGTGGGGGTAATCCTTTATATCCTATTAAGCTCAAACGAGTTAATTTGATTTTAAACATGTTCTTATTGGAACTCAAAAAAAGAGTCCCTGACAAGTCGACCAATATGATATACGAACCCGGGCCTCATGATCGTAAAGTTAACGTGAGAGAATGATTCAGATTGATTGATTTGTTTTTTTACGGATTATCAACCTTTTGCAAGTTATTTAAAGCCAGAAAATATTTTTGGATTGTATGAATCTTTGGAGATTCAAATGATGTCTTACCGGCACAAGTCCTACTTATTAATCCATAGCTGGGGGTTGGTGGAAGAAGTGGATTCATACCTTTCTCAGTCTAGGGTATTTGTGCGTAAGTGAATATAACAAACCCGACTGGAATTGGAACACGGCTCACCGATTTTCAATTCTGAGCCTATATCCACTTACACATCCACGCTTACAGCACTTGGTATTTCCAAGCGATCACCCATCTAGGTACTGACCAGTCTCGATGTTGCTTAACTTCGGTGATCGGACGAGAAGCGGTGTTTTAACGTGCTATGGCCGTAAGCCCCGAAGAAGGTAGGAGTGCACAACTGTCGAAACGTTGTGATAATTACAATAAAGACGAGGGCCATAGTACGAATATAAATAGTAACACCTCATGACAGACGTTTTAGACAGTAAGTACCGTATTTGATGGTGTATAAGACGCACCCCAATTTCAGCAAAACAAATCAAGAAAAAAAAATTAGTAATTAGTAAAATTAGTAAACCTACATATGGCATATAAGACGCAGGGGAATTTTAAAAGATATTTTTAGTAAAAAAAAAGTGCACCTTATATGCCGTCAAATACGATATTTCTTTTTCAAAGTCGCTACCAAATGTGACACAAGGCCGAGGTTTAAAGTGGGGCTAACGGCAATACCATGGAAAAATTACCCAAGCCCCCTCGGCACTTCCCCCTTCTTGGGGGGCGCGTCAGACGCCGGGCAATAAATCCAGAACCCCAACACCGCACCCCCCACCCCGAAGGAGAATTACTGCCTTTGGGGAGGCCCCCACCCCACCCTGAGGCTTGGGCTTATTTTTTATACTTACGACAGAATGTAACAGACACTGTCAGAATTTGAACTCGGCTCTCTGATTCAGCTCTCTACGCCGAAATTCTGATGTTCACATATGCAGGTATTATTAAGAAACTTATTTTCTTATGTTTAAGTTTTTTTTTTCTTTGCTTAAAAGCACAATTACTATTCGGGACAGATTTTCAGGAAATCAGTAATTGTTTGTAAAAAACAATGGATGATTTAAATTCTCCAAGGAGTCCTGCTTTTTTTTTTTTTTTAAACTATTAAACAAAAACGAAAAAAAAAAAAAACGAAAAAAAAAAAAAAAAAAAAACGAAACTAAAAAAAAAAAAAAAAACTAAAAAAAAACGGAACAAAAAGGCCCCCCAAAAAAAACAAAAAACTTTGCGATCAGAATTTAATTTCTCGAAATTACATGACATTTAAGTGGTGGGGGTTGGGTGACAGTTGTAAAAAGAAAATATTGTGACCAAGATTTTCTAAAAAAAAATAATAATTCGTTTGTAAATAAGTTTATTAAAATCCGACATTTTCCAATTTATTATGTTACTGGAAAACGGACACTAAAAAATATCCATGTTTTTTGGTTCACCGCTGACGAGGAGGAAAAAAAAAAAAATTTTTTTTAACCAAAATTTCGAACATGCTAGAAATGATTAAAAAATTTAATAAAATAATCAAAAAATACTTTGGTCTTTCCTCTTATTAATAACAAATATTTTTTGACGATAAAAAAACTGTTTTTAAGTTTGGTGGTCTTCTTCATCATGGTATGCTTTTTTTTTTTAGCGAAAAAGTGGAGGTACCTGTAGAATCGACAGGATTGAATAGTAAGAAAATAAAAACGTGGTTTAAAAAATAATCCTTAAAAAAAAACAAAAAACACTATTAGGGATTTATACATTTATCTTTTAACATCTTTCTGATAATTGCTAGACACTTTACACGCCTGGATGTTACGAGTCTTTAATCAAAAGTTTGAAGGGAAATTATTTGTTCCTAGGCCATGGTGTACAAAGACATTCTTAAACGATGTCGAAATCATCGGTGAAGCCAACCCAATTACTTGCCGATAGTACTTGAATTTTCCCTGTAAACTGAAGTGGGCAATCCAAACGTATTTCGTGCTGGTTCCACATTAACTTTAGGTCTCCTCTTCTCGGTTAGTGGAAAACGGAATGTATACTTAACACAACTAGAGAGCGTCGGGGGGGGGGGCGGTAGAGTGACTCATACACAGTTAATCAGAGAAGAGAAAAGGCGACGTGAAGTCATGTGTGGGGTTTTCTGTTTCAGGCTGGCTTACGTGGGTGAGGTCCCCTACCCATTCACACACTACTCTCTCTTATCATATAATCAATAACACTGAACCCGGTATATCACAAGTGAATAATTCAGAACGAGATAGACGAGTCGAGTGAAATGGGGGCTGGCATAATTCATCAGCTTTATTGATTTAATTTTGTCATAAAATCCCTAGTTTACTTGTTTTGTTTTTTTTTCATTTTTAAGCTTGTCTTTATTTCATTCGTAAGTATAGAAGAAGATCTATTTGTCTTGTCTCGATAAAACATGTGACACTGAATTGAAAAACTGTATCCGCTTGATTAAAAAAAATCTTGTTTTTGAAAAAAAAAAAAAAAAAGAAAAAAAAGGAAATGAGAAAGCAAATAATGGCAACTACAAGAAGAGTTATGTCATAGTAAGAATAGATAAATAAGTGCTGAAAAATTCTCGATTTGATGCACGCTACAGCGAACCACCTTCATTCCCTTCGTATTCCGTGGGTGATTGTTTTGGTTAGGTTGTTTTTGCTTAGCTGCATATCAAGCCGTATGGATTACATTGGATTGGTGAGATGCAAGTTCCACTCGAACAGCTTCTTCCCAAGAACCGCTACTTAGTGGAACCGACCCCCAAGAATATTCTCCCTTGATCACTACAATCTTAACCTATTCAAGTCTAACCGTTATCTTCTCCGAATATCCCCATATAAACTGTGCCTCTTGCATGAGTGGCTCTTGAGCCTTGTACAATGTGAACGTTATTGTAAAAAAACAAAGAACAAACAAAAAAAAAACTTCCCAAATCTGATTGTAGTTATGAAATCAGATATTTAATTTTCTTTTCATGCAACCGAATATTTTTCAGCACCCTCTCGCAGTACTGATAATTACTCAGGCAAAATCTTGTAAATGAACAAGCATGGTGCTACAAAATAAAAATAAAGTCGAGGAGAAGGGAATCAAATGTTGAAAGTTGTGTGTTTGTTTATGCTATATTTATAGACAAGTGCACAATATCAGGGATAGATCGTATGTAAATATAGTCGAGCCAATGCACAGCATACATGGCCTGAAGATTGCGTTCACGCACGAATCAGTCGCTACTCGGTATTTACCTTAATGTCCACTTTATATATATATATATACACACACACACTATGCTATACTCTCATTCGCCGATTGAGAACTATAGAGAAAAGGAAATTTAAAAACAGTGGCTGCTGCTATTAACGCATCGCTCTTCAGTTATGAATTGAGTGCTCTTGGCTACTGATTTGGCTTTGGATACATCACGTATATAATACGTTAAAAGATTTCACTTCTGTCGTGTGCCGATAGCTTAGGGGTAGAATCTCTGATGCCAAATCGGTCGAGTTTCGATCCCAGCTTGAAGCAATCGGGTGTCTAGCCACAGTGATGAGCTGTGATACAGTGAAACAAGCTTTTATATATATATATATATATATATATATATATATATAAGGAAGGACAAAATAAATATACTGTTCAAAAAATAAATAAATCAGAGCGTCTAGTCAAATATGTGTAACCATTAAAAATAACGTTGACGCATTAAAATAGGTCGGATTAATAAATGAAAAAGCCATTGCTAGCTCTATCTCTGATATTGAGCGCTTTCTAATAAGTACCGCGCACATAATATATAAATAATTATACATATATATATATTTATTTATATTTATATTCACTTTTATATATATATATATATATATATATATATATATATTTATATATATATATATATATATATATATGGTGCGATGGGTAAATTGTCGTCTAAATTACGGAAAAATGAAAAGAACACTGACATCTTATTTTAACAGATCTATTTACCAAAATTACACACACAAATCTTGAAATACAAAAGAGTAAATTTATTTAATTGGTTTCATGGTTTCAACCGCCGTCTCCAGATGACTTCGGAATTTCCTGGATCTCTTCTGGGCGGTCTCCTTGTTTAACCCTTTGCATGTCCAGGGCATTTTCGTCTGTACTATCCAAACATTCATGCTTGTTTTCAGATTTATAACTTTTGTAAACCAACTCAGCTTATTTGGCAAATCGAATGTGCTGATAGTGTTTCACATAATAAAAAAACTGTGCAAAACATATGACGCACAGGACATGTGATTTCCACGTCCATGTATCATATGTGGTGCACACGAGCCATTGTTTTAAAAAGAGAGGTACCCCTAAGGATGCTTAAGAAAAGAGTCTTCTATTGAACAGGACATCTGAGGAAAGGCCTAATCTAATATTTTGTGCATCACATATCAACACAGGACGTTTGCTTTTTTTTCAGAAAAAAAAAAAAAAAAAAAAAAAAAATAAAAAGAGAGAGAGAACATTGAAGTCAACACTTAGGGCGACAGGCTGTTTCATGCTAGACGCAATCGGTGGCCTGACGATTGCATATAGCATGAAACAGACTGTCGCCTCTAAGGGTTGACTTCAATGTTCACTTCTATATTTACACACGCTCTATCCTGATATTGAGCACCTTATCCCATAAATATAGCACACCATAAGAGTATATATATATATATATATATATAAATAATCGTACTTATTTTCGGGAATGAGACTGATTTCAATTATATCAGTCATATATTTTTTTCGTTACACTACGAAGAACAGGATACATTCTTACATATTGTAAAAATATCTTTTTCCAGTCTGCCGTCAAAATATATCCCTCACCTTATCTGCCAAGACGCACACTAGTTGGCACAGTTTTAGAACTAAAAACGAAGAACGGGATAATACATGCTCATTTTTGTTCCGGAATGTAATGATGAAAAAAACAGGACCACTCTCCACCGGGTGAGAGTTCTTCCGCCGTCTTAATTTCAACCAGACACGTGGCGCAATACGCAAACATACATTTTCTAACATCAAAGCCTATAAATATTTTTTCTTCCTTTTTCAGTAGGGCACACAAATATATTCTCTGAATTCTTGAATTACATTATTTTTTTATGTAAAAGTAATATGTAAAATTAATCCACGCGTTGAATGTTATTCCTTCTAAAAAATGATTAAATCAATTTCTTTGGAAGTTCTCAACCTCGGTCTCGTCCTTTCAAACTTTTAGCTGAACGCTAACAAATACAACAGATTGAATAAACCGGTGTATAATAATAATTCCTCATCTCAGAAATACCCGAAT